CTATATTGAAAATCTGTTGTTTGGTGTAGCCGCCTTCATGAATTTTCTTTGCTGGATCTTCTGGATAACTTACTGCAGCTTCTCCATCAGCACTTCTTGCATCACCTTGTACTTTCTGTTACAGAGACAGCTTCTTTCCTTAAACCTCATAAACCAACCTCTGCTAGCGTCAAACTTTTCTCCTATAGCGTCTCCACCTCTCCCCACCTTCACAGAAAGGAAGAGAGTTAAGGCCTTGCTTTGGATCAGTCATGCTTTGGCTTAGCAGAATGTTGTGGCTGGTTGGATCCTTCATCCAGACCACTCCATCTTTCTCCATATCAGCAATAAGCCTGTTGGTTTTTTTTGTTTGTTTCCTTTTTTAAAACATTTATGTGTTCTCTGGAGGAACACTTTTGATTACTTTCAAGAACTTTTCCTTTACATTCACAACTTGGCTAAGTGGCACAAAAGTCCTGGCTTTAAGCCTGCACTGGCTTTCAGTATGCCTTCCTCACTAAGCTTAATCATTTCTAGCTTTCGATTCAAAGTGAGAGATGTGTGACTCTGCCTTTCACTTGAACACTTAGAGGCCGATATAGGGTTTTTAGTTGGCTTAATTTTAATATTATGTGTCTCAGGGAATAGGGAGGCCTGAGGAGAGGGAGAAAGACAGGAATGGCTCATTGGTAGAGAAGTCAAAACAAACGCAACATTTACTATTTAAGTTCCCCATCTTACATGAGCGCGACTCGTGGTGCCCCAAGCCAATGACAATAGTAACATCAAAGATCACTGATCACAGATTGATTGCTGCCAGAGGGGAGGGTGGTGGAGGGACAAGCAAAATGGGTGAAGGGGAGTGGGAGACACAGGCTTCCAGTTACAGAATGAATAAGTCACAAGAATAAAAGGCACAGCATAGAGAATATAGTCAGTAATATTGTAATAATTCTATAACAGTGACAGGTGGTAACAACACTTGTGGTGAGCGTAGCATAACTTATGAACCTGTTGAGTCACTACGTTGACCCCTGAAACTAATACAGCATTGTGTGTCAACTATACCCAAATCAAAAACTTTTCTAAAAAGTGAAAAAAAAAAAATCACTGATTACAGGTTACCGTAACAATTTATAATAGTAACGAAAAAGGTTGGAAATATTGCAAGACCACCAAACTATGACACAGAGACAAGATGAGAACAAATGTTGGTAAAATGGCACTGATAGACTCGTTCGATGCAGGACTGATGCAGACCTTCAATCTGTAAAAAAATGCAATACCTGTGAAGCATACTAAAGGGAAGTACGAACGAAGGTCTGCCTGGAGGCTGGTGAGCAGCCCTCCTCCCCCAAAGGCTGTGGGTTGAAGGGGAGTCTTGTTCCAGGTGGACACTGCAAAGTGTACGATCGTGGGATTTGTCTCCACCAGCCATCCTCGTTGGGGCTTGTTCCCAAAAGATTTGGCTGCATGTGGAAACTGAAAGAACTCTTTAGCTTAGGGAGCTGTGCTTTGAGAGGCCCTCAGTTGAGCATCATAAGGAGGAAGAAATGGCTTATTGTGCATGGTGCTCTGATTTCTACCTCTAAGGGAGCAGTAAACCTGGCATGGGGCGCCGTAGTTGGCACTGAAAAAGGGGGTGGTGGATTAGGGTTAACAAGATGCATGGGTGACTGGGTAAGACCTGTATTGTTAAGGTAGTGCATCCCCATGAGTTATATAGGGGAGGGGAAAAGTTCTGTCATGTAACAGCTATAATACTTCGAGTCATGATGAGCAACTTTATTGCTTGCAATTAAATTGTATTAATTAAAACAGCATTCCTTACTCAATTCTGTAGACTGTTACATCAGAGGCCAAGGGTGACCTTCCAGTTTTGCCACTGTAACCCCTGCATCATTGGCTGCAGCTGCAATTTTTGAGGCAACTGGAATGGGGGGTGTGCAAGATGGGGTGGAGGGCCTAGGCTGTCCTAGAATGAGGCAGGAAGCTGGTCCCTGAATCCTTTCTGCACTAGCAGGTAGAAAGGAGAAGATTGATCTGTGGTCTTTAAGTGTCCCTGGAGATTGTGAGAAATATGTAGGGAAGGGGAGTCCTTGACAGGTGAAAGCTGGGAGTCATTGTATTTCAGGGTGTTAAATGAATCTTGTGTGCTCATTTATACTCCCAGGTTGAGGAAACCTATAAAATAGCAGATATGTAACATTTAATTCCTGAATCAGGGCAAGAGCTCTGGCCTCTTTTTTTTTTTTTTTTTTTTTTTTTTAACTCTGCTTTGGTGCTTGATATTGTCTTTGGTGCCACCCCAATGAGTGGCCTTTGGAGCACCAGCATGTTTCTATAGGTGGATCATTGATATGAAGTTCAATCATACTTCCTTCCTTTTTTGGTTGCTAAAATCTGAGTCAGATTTGCCACTCAGGAATAGAAATTGACCAAAATCAATCATACATTTTATTTTTCCTATTTGACCATTTTTCTTTTATACATTTACCTTTTTCCTGCTATGTGGTATACATTCCCCTAACCATCTAATCTTTCTGAAAGAAGGGAGAGGGAGTATGCACAGAAATAGAAAAAAAAAAGTAGGATGAAAAAAGAGGTAAAGGAGAGGAGACAAGAAGGAGAGTTAACCCATTTTACAGAGGACATTTACATGGAAAAGCTAATGACCTAAATTGCCCAGTCTTCACTTAATTGAGATGACTAATCCTAAATTTAACTTGAAGTATCTAACCAGCAAAAAAACGTCCTAATAAATTATAGTTTTGCAAAATACAAGTTAGTGATGGCAATTGTTTAAAGTGGATCAGAATCAACAGGAAGTAATAACAATAGATTCTGGAGTTTATGCTCAAAGAAAAGTAGGCATCATTTTCTATATTGGTGTGCAAAAGGAGAAATGTTTCTTAGGGCAAACACACATTTAATAGCACCAAGTCTGAATCATTAATAGATCTTTTGTAGAAATTAGAATGCTGGAAGCAGCTTCGGGGGTGCTAGAACTCAACTTTAGGTGAGCTAGGAGTTAGGGGACACAAGGTCCCTGTCCTTGAGCTCAGCTATGTTGGCAAGTAATTGCAATTCAAGGCAATAAATGCTATAGGTGAGTTACACGTATAGATATATGGATAATTAATTCTGCCTGAGGGAGTCCAGAATATCTTCGTAGAGGAGGGAGCCTTTGAGCTTGCTCTTAACAAATGAGGGTCTTCAGGCAGACCGAACAGAAGAAACTACACAGAAGGCAAGCAGCCATCAGAATATGTGGTTGCTGGGGATTACCCAGTATTTCGGACACTGTCACTAGAATGTGAGACAGGGCAGAAACATGTGCGCTGAACCCCCCAGTGCATCAGGCTTCCAAATATTTGCTGTAACAATAGCCCATTTTCTTTTACCTTATAATCATTTAACTTCTGCTTTGTTCTCACAAACCTGAAGCCTCCTCTATAGGCTTTCTTACTTACATCCCTCTTTAGTTCTCTTATTACTCAGTTTTTATTGGCTGAGTAGCTCCCAGTTATAATCAACAGACTAGAGGCTAATTTAAACTTACTGGGGTTCATCCAAATGTGACGAGTTGGTTTCTGGGGTTTTGTCTGCTATGATTACTGTAGCTGTTAACCCTGAGACATCTACCTTTTGGAAATACTGCTGAGCAACTTTTAGAATTTACATACATCTCTAAATTTCTTCCATTATGGATGGATCAATTCTCTGTCCTCTAGTTCTGGAGATGCTATTGGGACTTAGCAAATTACCGTTACCTGTATATTGAGCTGAGCCCTTTGTGCCAGGTTCTCAGACTAGTGTGGGGCAGTTTCCATTAGGAGAAGTCTGGCATGGTCGGCCTGTCCAGCTCACCATTTTAGAATAATCTGATCACCACTTTGTTATGGCCATAAAAGCATAGCAGTTGAAATCTTCTATGTTACCCCTTGACCGAGAGTTTTATTCTGGTTAGGTACTTGAATGCCTAAGTGTGCAAAAATTAGACAGCTTTTTAAAGAACTAGATTTTGTAGGTATACCAGGATATACCAGGCAATATCCATTTATCACCACAGCTTCCAGGAAGATTTTATTCAGCAACAGCTGTGATATTCACTCCACTGAGGTTGGTAACAGCAACTGCCCTAACACACTCAGCTGGAAAGCGTAATAAATTATTATCTATTGGGTGCCAGGCACTTTGTAACAGGGTACTCCTTTCAACCCTACAAGAAAGGTTTATGTTACTCTCATTCTAGAGTTGAGCAAAAAGGCTCAAGGAGGAAAGTCAGTGTTCTGCTTACCTTCCAAAGTTTTTACTTCTCTTTTTATAGCTAAGCTTTCTAAAACCAACTACAAGCCTGCATTAGAATGCAGAGGGGCCCCATTACAGGGGTGCCTGGGTGGTTCAGTCGGTTTAGGGTCTGACTCTTGATTTTAGCTGAGGTCATGATCTCCTGGTTCATGGAATCGAGCCCCGAGTCGGGCTCTGCACCGTCAGAGCCTGCTTCGGATTCTCTCTCTGCACCCTGCCCCCCGTCTCTCTCTCTCTCTCTCAAAATAAACAATAATAAAAAAATTACCACAAGGTTCCACTCAAGATTGTTCTCTTACCGTTTCACCACAGTCAGAAAGGTGATTGTGTTTCCAGGAGATTGAATTAAAGGAGCAAGCTAGTACTACAAACATTCCCAAAGGATTACAAAACACATAATAGAAAGTAGAACAGTAAATGACGTCACATTGGAATAATTTAAGACTGATCTTAATTTTGCAGGGTCATTTTACCTTCCTCTTACACTTCAGTTTTAAACTGAAGGCCCTAAGAATCTTTAGTTGGAAGCCCTCCAAAAAGAAACAGTATTCTTTTACGTACTACTGATAGAAGTGTAAATTGGTGTTTTCTAGGGGGCAAAGTGGCAGTAACAAAAGCTTTTAAAAACTGGCATATTCTCTCCACTAGCAATTCCAAGTATTCATCTTAAAGAAATATTAAGAACACATAAAAGATTTAGCAACACAATGTTCTTTAGAGCAGTTTATTAGTGAAAAATTGGAAACAGCCTAAAAGTCAACAATAGTTTAATAAAATGTGGCACATACGATGGCATACTGTGCAGCCATTAAAAAAGATGTAGAAATAGATTCAACACAGCAGGATAGTTATGGTATTGTCAAGTGAAAAAAAGTTACAAAACAGTACGTACAACTTGATTCCAATTAAAAAAAAATGTATAAATGCACAAAAGAGTCTGGAAGGCTATATACCTCAATAACAGTCCTCCCGGATGGTGGGATGATAGGTGATTTTTATCTTTCAAACTAAATTTTCATTTTTTTCCCCTTTTTACCAACACATCTATGACTTGTATTATTAAAAAAGCATTAACAATTCTCAAAAAGTCTCCTGTGAAGTAGGAATGAGAGTGGAGCTTAGTAACCTGAGGCACAGGGATGTAAACATTAGTCTGAAACTGCTTTAATGGCTTGTCAGGGTGCTTTGATGTCAAACTGTGACTGTGTTTAAGTGGAAATGTGGGTGGTCGTAGAGCTTACCCTTCTTCAGACTAAGGGATTCATTCCTAAGAAACCTTCCACAGCAACCAAGAACTGGCATTCCAAGCAAGATTTCCCTTGCACACACTAAGCATACCTTTATCTCACCCACTTGTAACAGAGCCCAGCAAGGTGCCTCTACCCTTGAGAACAGTGCTGGGTGACAGTACAGAAGGCAGGGAAAATTTCTCAAGTGATGTCAAAGAGTACCTGAAGGTGAAAGGCAAGTTTTTTGTTCTACTGAGGTGGTTCTCAAACTCACAAAAACAGATTGCGGGGCCTTACCCCCTGGGTTTAATTCAGTGGATCTCAGATAAGGCTTACGAATTGCCTTTCCCCCCCTTTCATTTGACAAGTATTTATTGAGTACATAAAACGTGCTAGGTCTTGTATTGTTGGAAATTTGTGATCAAAAGAATTATAGCCTCTATCTCAGAGAGCCTATATTGTAGATTGACAGATATATATTAAATTATAAAAGTAACTCTATATATAATTAAAATTATGATAGTGCTAGAATAAAGACAATTTTTGTCTTAAAACTATTTTTTAAAAATGTTACATGAAAGAACTAAGACCAGTTCTATAGCCCCTTCAAGACAAAAAATTAAGTACAAAGAAAGTACTTGGAAATACGAATTAGCATTTTAGACAAGTCCCTAGGTGATGCTGATATTGCATCTTAGGGTCTCACACTGAGAACCACTGCGCCCTAACTGAGCAGACTTTCTAATTAGGATAATGTGGGAGGAAGGGCACAAGGTAACAGCCATTTAATCATCTGGGGGAGGGGCTGAGGCAAAGCTAGCTAGCTATTATGGCTCCTTACTCAGGCTTCAAGTGTTACATACTAGGCAACACAGACCTCAAAATTTTAAGCATTTGGGAGGCAGGGAAGAGATTTTTGAGGAATCCTGTCAACAAAGCATGGAGGTGAGCTGAGCCTCTGGGTAAACGGAGCTGTTGCTTCTTGTCCTGCACTTGTCACCTCTCCCACAGTATCTCAGAAAGGTGCTCCCGTATCAGCTCCTCCATTCACATTCTGTTCTTTTGTCCTAGTGGGTAACAGTAGACTGTGTGGATGGACTCGAACCCACTGGTGACCCTAGCCTCAGGTTTCTTATTTCTCCTGTTACACAGAATGAGGCACATTCCCATTTCTGGGACCTAATGTTCTAATGTATCAGTTTTTCTGATTTAGCACCATAAAAAAAGATTTAACACCATGACCTTTCAGGTTAGATTACTTTGAGAACAGATGTAGAGGCAATCCTGTAATTTTGTTGAGTCTGTAAAAGAGCCTACAATTATTTCCAAGTTTATTACATCATTCGTATGTGCATCTTTCACGTTACTATACCTTTAAGCTCTGGGCCACAGAGCTTATTTAAATAATTTTAAATTGCACCATAAATTATTAGGCTTCCCAAGCTTTTCTTCTATGTCTAAGAAACTTTATGGGCTTTTACCTGAGTAAAAATCAAACTTATGACTTCATAAGTCAAAGCCAAAACCAAAAACCCACAAAAAACAAAACCAAAAAAACCTCCCAAACCACCAAACAAAACCCCTTTAACATAAAAAGCAATGAACATGAGAACAAGCCCATATATTATGGTGGATTTGTGGTAGACAAAGGCACTAGAAGCCTTTGGACCTTAACATTATTGAAGGTTACTAACATTATTGGATTACTATAGTCAACATTCATTTGATGGAAAACAAAAGGTTCTGATAAAACTTATGCTCTGGTGAGGTTAAACCTAGATCTAGGTGTGATTTAAAGGGGGTAGAGGATACAGGTAAGTAGAACAGAGCTTGGATATAAAAGGTATCTCTGGTACACAGTCATAAACAAGGCCTATAGTCTGGATTGGTCAGGAAGCTATGGGGGCTAACAAAGGGAAACTGGTATTTACAGAATGTTTCTACTATGTGTCAAACTTTTCCCTAAAAAAGACTTACCACACAAGTTAACATTTGCTATATAATCCTCACAATAACCTTAAGGTGGCATAACTATTATCCCTATTTTACTAAAAAGGAAGCAACAGTTTATATAATATTGAAGCTCAAAGAGCACAGGATATGAGGAAGACTGGATTTGAACTCAGGGTGGTTTCACTCCAGTATGCATACTTTTTCTCCTTGACTACTCTACTTCTCATAAACTTCACTTCCAGTTGCTGTTTAAGTTGACCTAGATTTTTTCTATGATCTCCTAAATCCTAAACCTGGACTGATGTAACATAAAAGATGGTACTCTCGGCTGGCTACAGACTTCCCTTCTGGGGAAAGAAAAAGTTCACTCACTTGGCTGGTGCTATAGCTAACTAACCAGCTTGAACACCTGTTAGGGTTACGAGTATGGCGATTCACAGTGTGAATCAAAGTGTCTTTGTACAATTATAAAATTGTAGAGCAATGTGTCTCAGCACAGAAATAAAAGGGTAACAACTACTGTTACAGTTTGGACTGTGGGCTAAATTATTATCAACATGTTGACAAAGTTCTGATTAGGAGCTCTTAAATAAATTTGAAAATACTTTTTGTGTTATGTGTTCATTTTTTAAAGTACCAAAAAGTGTTTTAATGCATTAACATTCCCTGAAGAAATGAACTACATTTTTGCACTTCACGAGTAAGCCAGACTGAACTCCTTTCAATTGTCAGAACGTGTCACATTCTCTTGGCTCGAGGCTCTTTTTCCCTCTGCCTCGAACACTTCCCCTCCATACCATCTCCCACTCCCCAAATCCAAATTAAGTGACTCAAAAGGTCTCAAACACAACACCCTGCATTCCTTCTATCATGACATGGATTCTGTTATATGGCAACTGCCTATTTACTTACTTAAGGTCTGCAGGGGGAAGGACTGTGCATCTTGTTCAGGGTAGTATCCCCAGCTGATCAACATAGTGCCTGGCCCTCAAACAAATGTTTGATGAATGAACGAATGAGGATGAATGCAGAAGTCCTAACATGGAAACAATCTGCTGATTCATAGCAATGCTCCAAACAGCAATTTTCTGACTGTAAGTGTGTTTCACAACCGGAGATCCTGATCAAGATAACCTAAGTTCATTAATAAATATTCAAAATTTTATTAGTAAATTGAGTAACCAAAAATGTATTGTTTGTATGCAATTTTCCTCTATAATGAGTGTAGTTGCACTAATCAATATTTTGATAAGAATTTGTTGTTCCATAAGAACACATTCTCTTTACTGAAATATGTTCTTAACAGATCCAGTTCTGATTATGCATTAAATTGTGCTAATTAAACAATCTTAAAAGCATTGTTTAGCAAATTGAACTTGTTCCAGATGTTTTAGAACCTTAACGAAATACATACCAGAGAAATATGGTAATCCTTTTCAAGGATTTCAAGGACTAGTTGTTCTTAAATTTAAAAGAAATCATTCAGTAGTGTTTAATAACCACCTCCCCCCACACCAAACCTCCAAAATAAACCATTGAGATACAATATTGAAATCACTCCATTTCTGTTGGAAAACAAGGTAAACATGGTAGATTAACTGCATTTCTGTTTATGGAAACATTCAGAAATATTATATTTTTCACAAAAGAGGCTTACGCCCTAGAGCTCTTTTAAAACCAACAGTTTAAAACAAATTTTAATTTTATTCTTTGGCTATTAAATTATACCTAATAAATGAGTCACTGATATCAATTCACAATAAATTTATTTTACATAAAAGAAAAAGCTTGCCATTAATGAAAAAATTCAGTAGAAAACAGTTCTTCTGCTTTAAGTTGGAGCTCAAAAGTAGAAGCTGCTTATTAGTGAAACTCAGTAGAAAGGGAACTTTGTAAGAAAACATTCTTGGCATGAAAGCACTAACATAAATTCTGTAATGAAATATTTACCATGCAATTTCACTGGCAGAAAGGCTGGTTTCTGATGGCTGGTATTTCTTTTCAGTCTCCTAAGAACATTAACATGGAAGATACTTAAACCTGCTTTATTCAGAGTTAATTGTATATAAATACTGGTGTCATGATGGGTAATCTTTCCATAGTCCACCTATTTAATTGAGCAGTTCTAAGTAGGTAATTGGTACCCTGCCCTTCTGATTTCCCCTTTCCCCCATTAGCCAGTCTGAATCCATTCCAACGACACTGAACACAGTGATCACCTACAAAATAAAATAGTTCCAGTTATTAACTATGTTAGAAAATAAACATTTGTAACTTGTTTAAGCTATTCATTATCAAAATTCTTTAAACATTATTAATTTTGCTGAAAGATAAAGGATTTTATTAGAGGCAGTTTTAGAAATTTTCTAGTTATTTAGCAGTTAAAAACTTTAAATCTGTGCTATTCTATTAAAGAATAGTAGTTAAAATTTTTATAAAATGTTGATATAACCATCTTAAATCTATGAAAGCATTCATGATAAACTATTTCCCAAGAAGTAATAAAGAATTTGCATTTTATTATAATACTAGAAGGTATGTCAATCTATGATAGTTTTCTTGTTAAACCCATATATTACTCACCTCATCTGCCAGAAGTGATAATTCACTACTGTTTGCAGCATCATAATCATACAGAACCCTGGCCTTCCTGCTGCCACTGCACTCCTTAAGGTCAATGAGGTTGGAAGGGGAGGTGATTACCAGACCACTTGTTGAAGTCAAGGCAGAAGAACCAATCACATTTGATGAAGCAGATGGTGCAGGTGCCACAGAAGTCTGATTGTTGTTACAATAATTGGATGGAAAACTGTTGGAAAAAAATGGCCAATTATCAATTTCCAAGTGACTATAGCTTCTGAATACCGCCACTTGGTGGCAGTGTTTACTTTCTACCAACTTCCACTTTGGCTAAAGATTTACAGATGTAATATTTTAATAGCAAAGTACCCTAACTAACTTATGCCTCTTAGGCCATAGAGAGGAAGACATAGAATCTGAAGCAGGCTCCAGGCTCTGAACTGTCAGCACAGAGACTGATGTGGAACCTGAACTCATGAACCGCGAGATCATGACCTGAGCCAAAGTTGGACGCTTAACCGACTGAGCCACCCAAGCGCCCCATGCAGGTGGTTTTCAAATATAAGTACTTGGAAGTTTTTTTTCAAAGCTGTCTTTACAATTATAAACTTGAAGTTTAAAAACAAAATACCCCCCCCAAAAACATGCTATTTCCAGAAAAAAATGAGTTTATCCTTAAAACACTTCCAAAAAACTTCTACTAGTATGTTTTATTAATCTTTTCTTGCCTTTATGAATTGTTAAATAAAAATATCAATGAATAACACTTCTATACTAGATACCACCACAAGAGTGAAGTTTTCTCAAGTTAATTCTTTGAGAAATATTTGAATAACCAAACTCTCTTTATAAAACTGATCCAATCACACTTTCCTATTCGTGCAAATGACAAATATTTATGGAAAATCTACATGTCCAACATCACTACCACAAGCTAAAGACACAAGGATGAAACAATACCCTTCCTTTATGGACATATACACAAGGGAAGGACATGGACATACAAATACTACGTTATGAGTAATAATTACCATAATGAAGACTCGATGGGAGAATAGGGCAAATTTCACAAGCTCATTCTGTCTTGTATTTTTTGTAGGGGAAAAATAGTAAAGTTTTATTAGAAACTAGTGAAATCTAGGGATGCCTCGGGGGCTCAGTTGGTTAAGCGTCCAACTCCAGCTCAGGTATAGATCTCATGGTTCGTGAGTTCAAGCCCCGCGTTGGGCTCTGTGCTGACAGCTCAGAGCCTGGAGCCTGCTTCAGATTCTGAGTCTCCCTCTCTCTCTGCCTGCTCACACTCTTGTCTCTCTCTCGAAAAAATAAAACATTAAAAAAAAATTTTTTTTAAAAAGAAGTTACTGAAATTTCTGTGACAAATGTGCTTGTAAATATTTTAAAGATAATTAAAATTTTCCATTTAGTGTAAAGCTACTGTTTCTCCAATACTACATGGAAAAGAGCATCAAATGGCTGGCCTATATTCATTCTCATCCAGCCATTTCTAAGGTTGAAAATTTCCTATGAAAATTCATATTTAAATTTTAATAAATATAAAAGGTCTCATCTGGTAAGATGGGTGAAATTCATCCCTAAATAAAACACAACTTCCTTCTTCTCTTTATGACCACTGTGCCATCTGGAAATCAGTCAGCCAACAACACAATTCTCGTTAGTCTCATAACCTCTTCTCTAAACCTTCCTTCACCCTCTTATGCTTGTGTTTATTTTTCATACTTATTGAGTCTACAAGTGGATGGAGTAGGAGTTGTATGGTCCTCATTACCATTTCTACACTCTTCTAACCAATCTCGCCCAATCTTGGAATTTCAGGTTATTTGACTCTTTACTACCCATCATCTCTTGTTGCCATCATCTATGGATGTTTCATTCCCTTCTCCATTTCTACAAGATTTTAGTTCCTGGCTCACAGATACTGTATCTCACCTGGTGATTATAATATCCATAGAGACAATTCTTCCAACACTTTGCCTTTTCAGATCCATGGTATCTTCTCTTTCTGTACCTGATCCTGTAGTTCAGCCACCCATTTCTACTGCCTCATCTAGACCTCATTAATTCCAAAAACTATAACCCTTGCAATAATAATTTCCAACATCCCATTGTCTGACCATCATCCTTTTTTCCCCCAGTACTCTCCAACAAGTCTATAGTGGATCTATGGTCCTACTAATACGTCCTTCATGGCCATGGTAATTACTATAATCACTCCCTTGCATACGTCTTCATCTCCTATATTCCTCACTTTAAATTACTCATTTGGTAAAAATCTATGAACCTACTCAGTATCCATGTTATTTACTGTTGAGAGGAGAAAAGTACAAAACCATGTTGTCTGGCCTTGCCCTCAATTTATGAGTAGGAACCTCAAGTGGGTCCACAATGCTGCTTAGCAATTACTATACATTTCTCTAAGTCCATTCACTTTCCATTCTTCTAATATTTCATACACTTTCATCCATCCTCAAAATTCTAGCAATTTCTCCTCTAACCTTATACTCGGTTGATGAGCTGTTTCCTTTCTCACAGAGAAGAAAAAGAACAATCAGGACACATCTACGTGTTTGTGGTCATCTCTCCTCTTACTACAGATGAGCTGTCTATGCTTCTGTGGCTAATTTCTCCACCTGTGCACAAAATCTCATTTTTACCTCTCAAGGATATCACGCTAGTAATTCTTCCTTTTCCCATGCTATCTTATTTCTCTATGTGCTGTATCATTCTCATCAGCTTGCAAACATGCTCTGATTTCTCCTATCTTAAAAACAAAAATCTGCGAGACCCACTTTCTCCTCCAGCTACTACTTCATTTTTCTGTTCCTCTTTACACTAGAACTCCTTTGAAAGATTTATCTAAACTTACCATCATAGTCCCTCCTCTTCTGTTCTCTTACACTATAGACATGATCTGGCCCTATTGTTCTACCAAAACTACTCTTGTCAAGGTCAGCAAGGACTTCAATGTTCTAATCCAATGGTCTATTGACATTCCTCACTTCACTTGACATATCTAGTGATCACAGTGGATCCTTTCCCTCCACTTTCCTGTACCTTCCTCACTTGACTTCCAGGCCACACTCTTGGTTTATATCTTACCTTACTGTTCATTCCTTACCGCCACTTCCTTAGCTGTGCTGGAGTACTTCAGGGTTTAGCCCTTAGCCCTCTTCTTTTCTCTGCCTATATTTACTACCTTTCATCTAGTCTGAGACTTAAACATCCCTGATATGCTGACCACTCTCTAACTTGTATCTCTAATTTAGCTTCCAAACTCCAGACCTGCATATCCTAAAACTGGGCATCTCCACTTAGATGTTTAATAGACATTTCAAACTTCATTATGTCTAAAATTGGGCTTCGGGTGTAAAACTGGGGTGATCTACCACCCCAACCTCCTCCTCCTGTGACATTCCCCATTTTAATTAACTACAGCTCCCTTCTTTCAGTTGCAAAGGCCAAACACCTGCAATAATTCTTAACTCTTCTGAGCCCTATGTAAATGAAGTCTGTCAGCAAATCCTGCTGGTTCTACCTCTAAAATGTACCCAGGGTTTGATCATTTCTACCACATCTATCACATTCACCATGATCCAAGCCACCATCATCTCCTGACTGGATAGGCTAAAAGTTTGCAATCAGCTCCAAACAGTTCTGTGTGCTTCCACTCATGCCCTCTAGCATTTATCTTTAACAGAGCAGCAAGAATAGTCCTATTAGATGCTAGCTGAATCTGTCACTCTTCAGGGCAAAACCCTCAAAGGCTTCTCACCTCTGAATAAAGGCCAAAGCCCCATGTGTCCCAGCTTCCCGTTTTCGTTTTCTCCCGTTTTCTCGATTCATCTCCAGCCGAGCCCTCCTCACTGTTGCTTGAACATTACAGCTATGTTCCTGCTTCAGGGTTTTGTACTTGCCGTACCCTCTCCTGGAGCAATTTTTCTCAGATGCCTGCATGGTTTGCTTCCTCTCATCTTTCAGGTCTGTCTTCTCTAACTAGTGCAAACCTTTACCCCTAACCAAGGCACTTCTCCACTTATTTTTCTTCACAGCATTTATCACCCTCTAATGTAGTATGTAATTCACAGCCATATCGATTTTCTACTTCCCTCTGCCCCCAAACAGATGTAGGTTCAACGAAGACAGGGATTTGCTCTGTTTTGTTTGCGCAGTATCCTTCATGCCTGGAATAGTGCATTTTTAAAAATTAAAAGCAAATGTTTCTCTGATAGATAATAGGGTTTTAATGACAAAAAGAACTAATTTCTAATTCAGGTTTTACTATAAAGTTAGGAACACATTTCTTAGCATCTCTTGCTCAGTGAACTCAGTTCCTCAGTAGTGGTTAAATATACACATTTCTGAAGATTAAAAACAAAAAAAAAACCTCTCTTTCCCCACATAAGTGTGTTTATACACACGTGTTTTTAAAGCCTCTAACTATGGAATTTTACTTTCAAATTTACTAGTATAATTAACCTTTGTTCACCACTGACCTCTACCTATGTCACTTTGGAGGAATTAATGGTAAAAAGAAAAACACCCAACACCCATCCCTCCAACCAAACAACAATAAAAACCCTGAAAGACCATTTTTACCTTCTAAGAACTTTTATTGATATTTTAAAAACTATAGACTTTCTGCTACTGTAGCTTGATGTATTAAAACCTTCTAATTATTTAAAAGTAAAATACATTTGCTAGCCTTGTGACTAGTGCTTCTGTTTCCTCATCTGTAAAATGTGGATAATGGTACCCACCCTCACAGGTATGAGGACTGTAACATTACATATGAGGTGTCTAGAGGAGTGCCTGGGGACAACTAGAGCCCTTCCTAAATGACTACTGTTTTCAGTTACTACTACTGCTACTAACACTGCTCTTATAACCTGGTTCTACTTCTCAGAAATACCTTCTGAATTAGCATGGAATTGGATGATTTGTCAAGTTCTGCAACTGAATACTTCTATACACTCTTACAAAGCATAACCTGCAACATTAAAGACTTTAAACTCTCTCCCCCTCCCCCACTCTCTATCACTGGTCCTTACCAGTAATCTAATTCTTTGAGGGCAGGCTTTCTTCCCCAGAACAGCAGCACTCAGTTCACGGTAATGTCTGAGCTTACCCTAAAGTGCAATAACTAGCATTTTGTTTGGATGGAAGAGTTCCAAGCATTTGTATGGCTTTAAGCAGAGTGCAAGTATAGATGGTAACAACAGCAACCCCTCTGCTGTATCAGGACACAGTGAAAAGAAAGTACTAAGGCTTCTTGGGCTTAAAATAGTTGTAACGATGTGGGGATAAAGTGGTGTTCTGCTTTCAGGTATTTAACACCACTAACAAAACTTTAAATATACAGAAGTGTAAATCTTCTGTAAATCCTATTGGGATAACCAATGGTATCAGACCACGATTCATTTTTAAGATCTAAAATTGGTTTTGTGGATGTGCCTAATATTGTTTTAAGCCCAGTTTTTTTTTTTTTATATATGAAATTTATTGTCAAATTGGTTTCCATACAACACTCAGTGCTCATCCCAAAAGGTGCCCTCCTCAATACCCATCACCCACCCTCTCCTCCCTCCCACCCCCCATCAACCCTCAGTTTGCTCTCAGTTCTCAACAGTCTCTTATGCTTTGGCTCTCTCCCACTCTAACATCTTTTTTTTTTTTTTTTTCCTTCCCCTCCCCCATGGGTTCCTGTTAATTTTCTCAGGATCCACATAAGAGTGAAACCATATGGTATCTGTCTTTCTCTGTATGTTAAGCCCAGTTTTAAACGATTATGCAGAAAAGAATATTGAATCCACTTAAAAAAAACCCCACCTTATTCCTTAAAATTATCTTCTCTTGATATTTTTCCTTCAAATATTATGTATCACCCACTCCCTGCTTTAATGGTTTCTCACTATATAAATCTTAAACTCCTTACTATTACTTACTTTACAGGACATTGGTGACATGACCCTGCTTCACTCATCTAGCCTCATCTACCATCCCATTCCTTAACTCAAACACCATGTACACTCTAGCCAGAACGAACTACTGTCAGTTCCCTGAACTTGCCACACTACTCTTTTTCCCTGGCCTTTTTACATGCGTGTTCTTCCTTTGTCTGAATATTTGTTGTCCCTGCCCCTTTCTTCATCTAAATTATTTCCACTAAAATAATTTCATTTGTGAAACTTTGCTAGACCCACATGAGTCACAGTTAGACGTCCCTTGCAGGAACCTACACTTCTACCTTTCCACTTGCCATCTGGCCCATCCCCCAATGGCCTTTATTTCTAGCTAGACTTTAAATACCTAGGTATTTCCATCTAGACCTTGTAGAGACCATGTTTGTCCTATACATCATTTTATTTCCAGTGTAACCTTACAATGTGAACTCCATAAGGATAAGCAATTTTGCCTGTTCTGTGTGCTGATATAATCCTAGAGTACAGAACAGTGCTTGGTATATGGCAAGTGTTCAATAAATATCTGATGAATGAATGACTGAGCTATGCATGTTATACATTATCACTTTGCTTTAAAGTATATTAAAATATGATTTTTAATAATAACATCAATGGGCTTGAGGTCTTACAGACTATTCCAAAACTTTTTTTTTTTTTTTTTTTAAGCAGTGAACAAGTGAGTAATGAATAAGTATAAATTAGCTAGCTGATCTCTAAGGGCAAATTAAGTGTCAATGTAACTAGTTAATCTTCCTCAACTAATTGCAAAAAACTAATTGCACAGAAAAGTGAACTTCAAACACTTTTGGTGCCAGGAGAGTTCAAAATGTTTTTGCTACCTCACAAGTCTGACAATTACTTTCCTTAAGAAAAAAAAATCTGATTTTAAGCAAGCTAACACAAGCCTTTAATTCTTTGAATCTTCACCTCTATCATTAGTTCATATGCAAAAATCTGAATTTCTTCTCTTATCAGGAGTTTTATGTGTGAAAAGGAAATTACCACCTTCCTAGTTGTTTCTGGAGGTCTAACATGTACTGGTAACATTGTGCATAATAAGTCATCTGGGCTTCCACAAAGTCATTCAGACAGCGGAGATGATGGGCCTGTAAAGGAAAGTTTCAGTTACTTCTCAGTTCTATAATCTACTTAAAAGTGTTAAATTCCAAGGGGCAAGAAAGCACGACATATACTCATGGCAAAACACCAGTAACTAGCATTCTACTACAAGGCTTATTGAGACTGACCTTGGTCAGCAGTGTAAGAACAAAACGTGTAGCCAATAAAGGCCAACAAATGATAGTGGGAGAACTAGGTGATGAAGTATAAACAAAAATTTAAAATATTCCATGTATCTTGGAAAGTGCCACAATTTAAATTTTCCTTGATAAGTGACTGAAAAAGAAGTTCAGTTTTCCCCCCTCAAAGTGCCTTAGGACCATCAAAGTCTTCTGTTTCAAACAAACTTCCAGTTAATGAACACTCACGTGCGTACTGCTGATTCCCTCTAACAGAAGTCTTGTAATCTCTGCTTGACGATCAAATTCACTTTGGGTTATTCTCAATTCCTGTTCAGACTTAAATTGGAATATAGTTTTAGAATTTTGCTTAATGACTTAGTCCGTTTTATGTACATTTGTTTAGACAGTTTACAAATCTCTCAGGTAAACCCTGAATGATGAGCTGGCAATGCTCTCATTCTGCTTTGAGTTTAAACTGTTCCCTGAACTCTACACCTCAGCTTTTCTATATTACTCAATCTAGATAGAATGTATTCCTTACCATTAATTGACTCAAAAAAATCTATTAATGTCAAAGTTTAATGACATATACATAAAAGCCTAGAAACACTACTATGGGACAGTCAATATACTGTCATGTATTTTGTCATGTCAATATAAAAGGTCATAACATTTTATAAAATCTTAAGAATATTAGTTTAGAAGTATATTTGAAAAAATTCTCAATTATTACTATGGTTAATTTATTTTGAAGTTAAAGATAGACTTTAATCTCAAATGAAAAAACTTAAGAGTAAAGCCATAAGATTTTAATCTCTCTCTCTTTTTTTTAATGTTTGTTTACTTTTGAGAGAGAGCACGTGAGGGAGGATGGGATAGAGAGGGAGACAGAGGATCAGGAGCAGGCTCTGAGCTGACAGCGCAGAGCCTGATGTGGGACTTGAACTCATGACATCATGATCGGAGCTGAAGTCAGACACTTAACAGACTGAGCCACTCAGGTGCCCTAGATTTTAACCTCTTATGTTTAGTTATCAAACATACTGTTTCTAGGCATATAGTTCTTAGGTTCCTTAAGAAGGAACTCTTTTTGCATAAGGGGTGACTTTTTAGTTTTCTTTCTAAACTTTGCATTTTATATGGCTTAAGCATCACTATTATCTACAAGATGTACTAGGGTTTTTCTGCAAGTTATGGGTGACCTTTAATCAGTAGTGTGCTGATAAACTAGCTGGGGTTGGGGGAGTTCTAATGTGCTGATTTTCATGGTGCAAATACTCCAACCACACATCATTTCAAGCTACCAAGGTGAAGTCACTGACCTCATGGCTGGAAAGAGGTGTATATAATAGCACTCCACTACTACTAGCTTCAACCCTCTCATACAGGTTCAGTGCTGGGACAAAATAGTTCACTAAAAAATCAACTCAATAAAAATAGTAAATACTCAATAAAAAACATCTTAAACCTTTAGCCAGAGTTGGTTGGTAGTAAGTGAGGAGGAGAAAAATAAAATCTCACATCTCACTCAAAATACTCAGCTTATCCCACACAGGGAATCATCATTGGTGAGAATATCATTAATACTGTTATGTTATACTACCTCTCCAGGATAAATAGCTCCCCCCACCTATCCAAGTAATATTTCTAAGACTGTAGTAAGTATAAAAACTAGGTCTAAACTTTTTCCTTGCACATCCCATCTTCCTCTCCGTCAACGTTTGGTGGCAATAGTTAACCTAGTGAACCAGTCAACAAGGAAGCAAAATAGTCAGTTGCTATAACCATTTTCATCCCACTGGTAACAGACCTGGCAGAGTGACTAAGAAGTGACCACTAGATTGGATTTATGGAAATGAGCTTGAATTACTCAATAATTCAAAAGTTAAAATTAAATTTTACTTGGCTGAAACCAGAATGCATGGTGCTTTGATAACAGAGCTGAAGTTACAAGTTTCATCTAGAAGCCAGTATGAAGCAGAAAAAAGTCCCAGGAGAAGGAAAGAATCAATCAATATTCTTCCTAAGTAAAGTGTTAAGGAAAACCAATCACTTCAGAGTTACATTTGCATTATTTATTGTTCTGCTTGGTTGAATACAAAACGGTTTTAAGAAGTTACCATAATAAACCCAAAATAAATGAAATTCAGAAGTAAACAAGACTAGTGAAAGTACAATTTGATTTAATGGCTTTTAGTAGAAAGGGCAGAAAAGCCTACTAAATAGCAGTATTTCTATACAAGGTGTAAACAAGTAAGCTAGATAATAGATTAAGGGACTGGAAAGTCTGAGTATGAAGTGGAAGTGTTTTAGTTAAGGACACTGAGTAAAAAAAGTTATAAAATGATCTCACAAAGGATAAGAGATCAGTCTTCCGTGTTTGAGAAAACTGAATGATTTCATTATGAAGAAAGGCACCATGTTGCAAAGCCTAGGAAGTCATTCTTTGAACAATTCAGACTTTGTATTTAGAAAAGGTAAATGACAGGAAGGAAACGAATCCCATTTTTTGAACAAGTTTCAGTGTATGCCTGGGGTAGCTGCAGTCAGACGTCCCAAACCATCTCTACTGCTGACACATATAATGATCATAATAATTAATATAAAAGGCTGAGGTATCTAAAATAGGTTTGGCATCATTTACTTAGGAAGAGAATGATCCCTATTAGAAAGACAGATAAAAAGGGTTTAAAGAAAGAACTGTCTTTCTTTAAACACTTAAGGATTTTTATTCTGTCCTCCAGAAGACCTCATTCCCTGACGAATTTTACAATTAAGACAAAGAGTTCTAGGGGAAAGACCTTTTCCTGCCAGAGTATATGACAGCATAACTTGGGTTAGGGAAGCAAGAAGAACTCTTTTAGGATGTAACTTGGAAAAAGGGCAAGAATTTGTTGATCTGTGATATCAGGACTGGGTAACTAGAAGCTAGAAATTTGGTGGTTATGCTTTTGAGGCATTTGCTGTGAAATTTTGTTCAGTGTTATTTTTTTCTATAGGCTTAAATCTTAAAACATTTGAAGATATGAAGTTTTAAAATTATATATTTTTTAAATTATAAAAATGACAGAAGTGAGTATGGAAGAAAAAATCTCCCTAAATCCATTTTGATATATTTTCTTAAGTTACACACACACACACACACACACACACACACACACACACACACACACTATAAATATTTGTTTCATGGGCTTCTTCCCATTGTATATATCACATATTTCCCAAACTCACAGAGACTGCAGTATCAGAGATTTTTTGGTGTATCTGTTTGCTAACCAGAGTGGAAGAGACCCTGGTTTCATTGTTCAACTTATATTCTCTTCCATGTTACTCTGCCCTCTTTTCATGCTAGAGGTTCAGGAACAACCAGAGGCCATGGCAGAAACATAACTAAGCTGACAAATGGATTTCACAATAGAGGATGGAAGAAGTCAAGCATTTCATACTGAATTTCCAATTCATAGAGTCAAAACCCCATAACCTATTCAGAGAGCAGACTGTATAGTCAGCATTCCTACAAAGTCAAAAAATAAAAAGTTAAAGTTTGAAAAAAAAAAAAATAGGGGCCACAGTTACCACCGGCCCTTAATCTCCAGCACTGTCCTCATCTGGAGGTCAAATTTTGGTAGGCATGAACATGAGGAGTAAATAAAAAATGCTTCTGAAGACCTTAAGTAGCATTTGAAACAAATCTGCCTAAAGTCATAATTTTATTCCTTACATTCTTGCTTATTATTTCCCAGCCTAGATAAAATGAGAAATGGAAATACAGAAAGAGGGCCTACTAGTAGCAGTAGCAGTCATGTGGGGCTTCTAAGTGACAGTCCAACACTGAGGGAGGAGACAACATACTTCAAAAACAAACAACAGATCTAATTGTTATACAGTACAATAATGTACATTTACAATAGTGACCCTAACTGTAAATGAAATTAAATACATGCTATCCTATATTTACCTAATGGAGCAGTAAAATACTATTTTAAAACTGTTTTCAACTAAAGTGACAGAAGACTTAGCTCTGGTGCTGGAGGAACAAGCTTTGGTTACCCAGGAAACTCATTTGTGTGACAGACGATATATTCAATCTCTGAATATACAAGACATGGCGTAAACTATATTTTACATAATTGTCACGTAAGTAAACCAAGTATTTACACTGTTTCCTGGCAAGCACTGTAAATATTACTACTTAATGTAGCATGTATCTAGTATTTATCAGAGTGTATGCACAGTACATCTCTGTAATATTCTTCTACTGCTCTGTGGAGCTACTACTAGCCAAAGAGATCTGAGCTTTCTATAATAATTTTCAGATTTTATAAGTAACAAAGATATAGTAACAAAGACTGTCACTGGCCCTATCCTATTGGCTGTTGTCCAAGAAATATTTACTGAATGAATGACAATTAAATTCTTGTTTCATAATTCTGTAGTTTAATAATTTACTTACTTTTGTCACTTCCTCTGCCCAAATCTAGCCAGCATTAAAAATTAGAGAAAAATATACAGCATGAAAGAAAGTTGGAATTTAACATTTTCTACAACTTAGTATAGAAAAATGTAATTATTTTAAATTCAAAGGGCACACTCTCCTTTTCCGGAGTCACATTAACACAATAGTGAATCAGTATAGTTTAATATACTGTGAAAGTATGCCTTCATATGTATCAATACTGTTAATTTTTGAATCTTATACTAATTTTATAAATTAATAAGAGTAATAGTTTTCCAAAATTGGGACTATTTAGCCCCTCTTAGTTGTAGTTTTCTAATCTGTAAAATGAGAGGTTTAGACTAAGTAATTTCTAATTTCTCATTTAGGTCTAAAATTCTAGAATTTTAGGAAACTAAAATAAAGCAAGGATAAATAGACAGTGAACATTGATACAGCCACTGGTGGAGCACATTATACTTGAGAAATAGTTTAAAATTACCAGAGTTAAACACATATAAGTAGATGACATCAGTAGTAACACAAATGCCTAATAAATGGAACATAGTCTTGCTAACTGTTTAGGATACTTCTACCTAAAATAAAAGAAAACCTATGATCTATAGACAATTACCAATGACTGAAATAGTCTAACACTTTCATTCACCTACAAACAGGACAATGGAAATAAATGAATGCATTCTCTTGCTATCTAAGGAAAGCCCTGATTTAGCCAGGGCTTTGGTGATCATAGTAGTTTAAACAACAAAAATGCATTTTAAATATTGTTTACATAAACCTTCCGATTACACGGACATTTTCCCCCCTTCAGCTCAATGCTAATGGAATAAAAACAGCTGACTGTGAATTTATTATAAACTGTACTACAGATTCCATGTCACTTCTATGGAAGTAATTTATCTAGCAGTATAATGCCAAACACCACATCTATAAATCTTTATTGGCTAATGTTTATGAGTTTTGGGGCTATATTCAGATTTTATGAATTTCCATTTTGTTAAAAATTAAAAATTACTAACATCTCAAAAATTTCCTCAAGCCAGACTCAACATATATAGAACAAGCCTCATTCCCAATTCTTACCCAAGGCTATTAATTAATATCCTGAAGCTTTCCAAAGTAAATTAGCAATGGATAGGGAATGGGCCTTGCTACTATAAAAATACCCAAAATATCAGGGGGAGGTGGAGTGTCTTGGCCTGAAACTGAAGAAATTAATTCAATGTTGAGTTTGGGTGAAAGTTAAGGTAAACATCAAAGATACTAAGAAACAAAGTAAATCTGTATACCTTACACTTTTCTCTAAGTAAATTTTGTTAATTTTCTTTGCTAAAAGTAAAAATGCAAAGTGCCAGCCAAATTAATGTCTTAATTACTAGGTATAAAAGGCACTATATATTTATATATAAATTCATATTTTAAAACCTGAATTTGGCATAGATAATAATATTTGGCAATTAGAACACAATTTATTTTCTTCAAGTTCCAATATTACTTCAGCTAGTATTCCCTGTGATTTTTGCTGGACTAATGAATTCATGGCTTCGACTACTTTAGACTTTTACATGCAGATAATAGCAAGAGAAGGCACTTTACTGAGTATGTAGAAAACACAGTAGGCCAACAAACCTTCAGCCATTTTACATGCAGGAAGTTGAGCATGTAAGAGAAATTTACCATAATGTTATCTCCTTCAAGGCGAGCTGAGTTTAGTTGCTTAAGTGCATAGGTAAGAGACAAAGAACACATTATACCAATGAACATAGTGGAACAAGTTACTTCTTCACAATAAAGAACACACAAACAAGCATTAAGAGAGCTTAAAAATGGTCTTCTACTTAAAAAAAACCCACAATAAACTATATTGCTCTATGGAATGTCACATAGTGGTACCTATTCAAAATTTTCCAAAAGATACAAATTTTTAAAGACAAAAAACATGGTTGATGCTTGATTTTAAATTAGAATCATTTAAGGAAACATCACTTTAAAAACTGCTGCAGTTACCTATAATTTTTACTAAATTTTCAGCTATGAAAGCCCTTCTGCCTACCCACAATTTTCCTATTCAAAGATCATTTCTATTTTATGAATATATGATGCCTTTAACCACATTTTCTTTTCAGTCAGCCTCAGCCAGGTCTTGGCATACCCTAAGGAAATATGAAAGGCAGGTCAATCCTTATATTTTTAATAAGCTTTAAATTCTCATATGTGTACATTAAGATTAAAGTAATATGATGGTGCTCAGTTTACAGATTAAAGATTTAGACATCTGTGAAAATAAATGCTTAAGCAGGCAGAGGGACATTCATAATACTGTGTTATTTGAAGATGTATTTTCTGTATTTGTATACCTAAAAGTGAGGTCTAAACCTCGAAATACTAGCTTTGAAACCAGATGATTTTTCTTCCCATTAACAGTAGTCTAAAATAATTTTAAAAAATTTATATAGAACTAAATAAAGCTATTTAGTGCCTTATATAAAGTGCCTTATAATTTAAATGCAGAAATTTTATTTGCCTTTGCTACTTATGATGTAAGTTTTAGAATATTTTCAAAACTGTGTTTCTGTTCATTATAAAACATTCAAGTAGGTTTTCTTTCTGCTCAACTGGTATATTTTTGAGAAAAGCTTTTGATGTTGCGTTACCATTCTTCAACATGCTAACTAATAAAATACAAGTTAGTAAAGTAGCAATACTGTATACAGGCATAAATATCTCACTGATAGGGCTAACATCATCAAAAAGTTCAATCTAGTGGACTATATTGTGAACTGAGGGCAGCAGAAATTTTGCATTATTTATCTCTGAACTCCTCAGCAGAGCATGTTATAGAAAATAAGCATTTGATAAATATAGAATTGAAAAAGAGGTCACAAGAAGCCAGTAAACAAGCTAAAAAAAAAAAGTCTTCAGGTACACAGGTCCCAAATCTTACTTGCAGAGAAATAACTACTCACAAAACAATACATGGAGATTTATAAAGTGAAATCAAAGAAATTCTGAGATTAGAATAACCTCTTCAAGCTGCCAACTAGGAACGAGGAAATGGGTCAAAGAAGGAAAAAAACCCCGCAAATTCCTAGTGGTTTCTATTTTTCTGTATTCTTCAAGTAAACAGAAGAGAAATACAGAAAACAAACCTCCACCAGAGATCACAAAATATAGGCATGCCTCAAGGTTTTATGTAATAACAAACTAATAGGACTTTTCCTTTCTAAAGTATTTCAGACTTACTGCTATAAAGTTGGAAGAAAAAGGAGTTGGTTATCTAGGGGAAAAGAACACAACTGAAATCAGGAAATGTGAATTTCTGTTTGGACTAACATTTTAAATATTTGGCTATAGTTAAATTTGTTTTACATAATATATAAATTCTAGAAAAGTTGTATAAAAATAAAATTGTTCAATAAAGTCATTTGTATACTCTTTGGTATTTTAAATGTAATTTCTCATGGAAAAAATTCTGCCCTCAACAATACTCAGTAAAGAAAAATTGCCAAGATCTTTTCTGGATACATCAAAAGAAACATCTCTCAAAGTTTGTTTACTATTATATTTAGTTCTTACAAACTTTAATAGCAATGGCAAAATAATTTCGAATAACTAAAGGACCTTTACAGTGTTAAATCTATGAGTTTTCTGGAACTTTTTCAGGTAAAAAAGTAGACACAGTCATTATCCCGTAATAGTGCTTGTGTAAGCACTACAAAATAAAGTTTTGTACTGACACTTGACAACAGTATTCTTCTCATTCCACAATCATTATTGGGCACATGAAGGCATTTTGAATAAAGAGATTTTGTTCTGGTTCAAACACTTATTTCCAAATGATCCTTATTTATCTTAACATTTTTTTTTCCTGATTATGACATTAGTATCTTAAAAAAATCAATTTATACTTTACCACATAAATCTTTTATTAGCAACTAGAAACCAATCCTAATTTAGAGTCTCTTGCCACCTACAATGTTCATTTTTAAAGTTCTTATTCTGCAAAAAGCCTGTTTGGGGAAGTTAGGGTGTTCTTGATGATGACATCATAATAAATTCTGAGGTGAAATAGCCAGTGAATTTGGATTCAATGTTCTGTCAAAGATAGCTCTCCAGCAGTAACTAATACAGTGTCTTCCAAAGAGGAGCTGTCTAGAAAAAAATTTTTCTAGAAAAAAATTTATTCAGCTCATATAAGGTTTTGGGGTAATTTCATAAGACATCACAACCCAATACCAATTTTACCAGTTTTAAATTTTACTGTAAACCAAATGTCAACCTCTTCTTTCCCAAAACAAGAGAGCCACAGTCAACTTCTGCCAGCACTGTGGTTTATGTTCCTTAAGGCAATGGTTCTTGATGAGGACAGTGGTAGTTGAGTTGGGATCAGAAGGCAGGGGGAATGTCATGCCTCTTAACAAAACATATCCCTTAATATATGTTAAGAATTTGTTAGCCTTCTCTAATAAATTCAGACCGGTTTACATTGTACTATCGTAAAGGCATAAATCTCAAATCTGATTGATGTCTCCAATCTTTGGAATGGAAATATAAACAGTATAAATACTAGATTAAATAAGCTTATAAATAAAATCTTTCAATAAAGTTATAAATATATACATACATAAATCATTAAATTACTACATTTAATATAAACCCACTCTATTTAAAAAGACTAAACTGAGGTTGATTTTATGAAAAATATACCAGAACTTATGTATCCAAATGAGTTTCCTCCCCTGCAAAATAGTCACCTGGGAGTCCATGCTGCCACTGTTTGAATGGTTTTGGAATTCTTGGTGACAACTCCTTTAGCCAGTTTGACTCACATGTGAAAAGGAGTCCAGTTTAATTTTTACGTCACACACAAGCAATCTCAAATTTGATTCTTTCTAATCTTAATTACTATTTGTTTTTCTATTTCAAAGATAATAACCCTATCTCCAAAAGAATATTTTCTAACATTACTGATGATATTTAAAGAACATGATACAGCTTTAGGAGCTCTCACAATTTTTATTTTTTAGCAACAGGTATATTGCTGAAATAATACTACCTGTTGATATAACTATTCTGCATTGATTTGGATGCATTAAGCTCTGGTAAGTTTGTTTAAAAACACTAAAAGTCATAGTCTAGTCTTCATAATTAACTATAGCTTGCATGGTACAGGAGTAAAATATTTTACAAATTTTAAAGTTATCAACCTAGAATGTTTTTCTATTAAAAAATACTACTTACTGAGGCTCTAGTTTCTGCAGCTTTTGCCTTTTTTAGTCTGGTTTTCGCAGCATCCAAATCCAGTCTCTTATTTTGTAATAGTTTCCTTTCTTTCTATAAATATAGAAAAGAAAAAAAAAAGGCTAATGATGCTAACGTCCAGTAAAAAGCATACACATTTAAAGTATTATTCTCCATTAAATATATGAATCATCTGCTAAAGATCTAGAATTACAAAATTGACTATGAAGTGACACTTGATTCCTTTTTCTCATGGTTTTCAATTTTAAAACAATGGAGACATTCTAGATGCTTGAAAAATCTGGGAAAGATGGCAGGTGATGGCAGAAACAAACGAATATTAATTTTAATATCTTGTGGTTTTGCTCTCCAGGAAATATTTTGCTCTATCTTCTTGGTTGTCACAACTGGGGGTGTGGGTGTGTTACTGAGTAGAAGCCAGGATGCTGCTAAATATCCTACAATGCAGTATGGCTCCCACAACAAAGAATTACTTGACTCAAAATGTCAGTACTGTCCAGGATGAGAATGTTTCGAACAGACTATCTAGGAAATACCTATGATAAAGGAGATATGGGCCTAGGGCAAAGTTTCTTGATACCTTAAGTGATCTACTTTAAGAACTATGCAGGTTCACTTAATGTGCCATAGCAGTGAATGCAGTTCTACTACTCCAAAGTGGAATTCCAGATTTCATATATCAAATTTCATCCTATTGACAATTTAATCTTTTAAATCATCTTTCAACTTGGTAGCTTTTCTTTTGTCTCAGGTGAAATACTTTTTACCCAGACAAATTCATTGTAAACATACTGAGTTTCTGAAATAAATTGTAATAAGAAATCTGCAAATTAAAGTTTAAAGTAGTATTTACAATAAAAAATAATCTTGCAAAAATCTTAGGAAAAAAATCCACCTAGATCTCCACTCTCCATCACTGAAACAAACAAACAAAAAATAATACTAGGCTTGGGAAGGTGATATTTATTTCTTTGGCAATAAAACATAGCTGTGTGAAGAGAAGATAAGAGGCTTCTAGGGATGCAAAAAACAGGAAGTCGAACAACCAGAAATATAGCTTCCAATAATTAGGTTTTTTGCTTCCAGTTTAAATGAATAGTTACATGTCTATACTATCGTGATATTTTGTACCATATTTTTATAATAATTCCAGGAACTTCTCTACAAATTTTAATGCTGGTAATGGACAAGAATTGATGTAAAGTAATCTCAATAACACTACAGAGACACAAAAATAGAGTACATATCTTTAAGAGTCCTTTATTTTGGTTAGGTTTGTGTTCTGCTGGATATGCACCTAGCTAGATTATTTAAATTTTCTAATCTGCTACATCTACATGATCAATAAGAGGGTAAATTATCCATTAAAAACTGGAATTATATATCTTAATATTGTACTAAAAAAAGGGAACATTTTCCAACTCACAGCAATTGTTTTGTAATCTCCTTCTATAAAGTTTCTTAAAGGAGTGAGAAAATTTAAGGCTGATGTTTGAATCAGCTCTCTGTCTGCTGTTCCAATTCGTTTTTGTGTTTCTCCACATTTAATAAGGGCATTACCTGCAAAGGAAAAAAGTGTTGTTTGGTTTTTTGTGTTTTTTTTTTCTTTTTTTACCATTTTCTGGTAATGTCAGAAAATAAAATCAGCAATTTGATCTGCTTTAAAGTTAGTTGTCACTTCTTTACTTAAGTAAAAAATAAAATAGAATTAACTGTAGTTAGTTTTATTTTAAAAGGTAAATTTAAGACTATAAATATCTAAATAAAAATGACAAAGGTGAAGTCCTTATCATACCATAGTTAATTGTACCAATTCAACCAATGGAACACAAGAGAATAAATATACTAAAAAGTATTTATGGTCATAGCTCAAACAGTGGAGGTATGTTTAGAAAAGCATTAATGCTTAAAATATTTAGTAAGTCAAAATTTGTCTTCTGTTTCTATATTAATGCATGGGCCTCAAGTATCTCTAAATAATAGTATAAATTTGCATCTTAGGTTAAAGAAAAAGCCATGTTTTGTAACACATATACCTTAATGTTTAAATAGGACAAGTACAGTGGAAAATCGAGCAAATGAAAGGGAACCACAAGACCAAGGTTCTACTCCCAGGTCTACCTCTAATAAATTTTAATTCCATGGATCTTGATTCCTACATGTTAGCATGAGATCAGATCTGATTGGCAAGGAGGATAATATAACACAGTAGTTAAGAGAGCCATGTCTGGATACATATCTCCATTTGAATTATTAGATGTAGGATTATGGATGAATTATATAATCTAAGACTCAGTTTCTTTGTCTTCAAAATGGAGACAATTTATATTGTAAGTAGGATATAACTGAAGATTTACAGAAATAGTATGTTGTGCAGTGTTAAGCCCAATGCCTGAAATACTCAATTGTTAGCTACTATCAATTACTAATAAATAGATTCACAAAGTCCAATTCCAATGATCAGGGTAGAGTGATTAATAGAATTACTATGGGTAAAAACAAACTAAGTGGATTAAAAAAGGAAAAAATGTTCCTTTTGAATGTTCATGTCCCACTAGGCCTTCAGCTTGATGAAGGTAAGGGCTGGATGCCCTTTATGACTCCCAGCATCTAATTGCATCTGACACAAGCAGGCACAAAAAAATCTGTTTAATGTGTAAAATTTTTGCAAAATAGTTAAAATTTAGAAATAGAACTATAAAAATTTTAAGCATTTTCAGACTTCTGAAAGAAGTACATTTTGAAAACCACAATGTAAAAGTTTCAGTTGCATATCTAACAGTCAATGGATTAATGCCATTCATTATACAGTATTTAGGATATTTCCCTCTGACATAAAGGTAACTACTAAAACTTTAAGTTCATTTTGCTCCAGAATTTAGTAACTATTTTATAAATCAGTACTATATGAGGAAAATCATTTACCTACCATTTCATACCCACATAAAGACCAATTTCTTGCAGAAGTCTTAATAAAGAGAATTTTTAGCCATGAACAATAGGAAAAGATGCTATAGAAATCTGAAACAGTCTCATATTCTGAGAAAATTAGATTTGAGGGATAATGAGCTTCAGAGTTATACATTTAAAAAGTCAGTACAGCAACCAGCAAAGCTGACATAACTATAAAGCATGATGATAGAAAATTTGAATTACATGAAGAAAATAGAATGAAATGTAATCCAAACATGTAATCCAAATAGTTATCCAGAGATAACCATTGTTAACATTTTTGTGGTACCAACATCATTGTGTAATGAAAGCACTAGTGATGTGTTCAAACACTATGTGCCAGGCATTTTATTATAGAAATCAATAAGCTCTCAAGAAAGCTTTAAAGAAATCATCTAGAGAAGACATGTAAACAAAATTACAATATATCAAAAGAAGTACTGTAACAGAGGTTGCAAGGTTCAATGGCAGTACCAGTAAGGAATTAATTCATTCAACTTTTTAGATCTAAAAAGATTAATGTGAATTCTCAGAATAATATATACTAAAAACATTACATTGAATTGCACATATTTACTGGTCACCTGTATTTCTCACTTTATCTGAAATTTAAACATAAAAAATTTGAAGTTAAAATTGAGTCTACTAATATTTGGCAAATGTTAATGATGTCTCTAAGTAGTAAAAAAATCTAAAAGGAAAGTTATTAACTTAGCAGATCTTTTTGCCTTTTGCTTACCATAAGCTGTTCCTGGGCCAAACTCAGTCCCTGCATCAATCATATATTGTCCCAAAAGTTCTGGGTTGTTTATACGACTTGGAGCTTTTCTATCCAATTTCTCATAAACAAATTCTTCTATCCTGGCATCTAGGAGAAAGGTTTAAAACTATCAATGATTTCAAAAAAGCAAAACTACTTAAAAGACTTATTGTTTTTTTCCCCTCTGAGCCATTTATCACTCTGTAAAATAAACATGAAGTTAGCATGCTTCTAAGTACATATCTTAACAGAATTTTTAATTTTTATGTTGCAGTATTATATAGCTCAAAGAAACTTATACTTTAAAAATATGGTAAAATATTTTGGCACAAAAATACTTAAAGTAAAACTATTATACGATGAGTATTCTATGAGATTTTAAAAGAGTTGGTTATTCACTTAATACCTAATGAAGTTGCCTTTGTCCCACTCATACACAGTCTAATTTTTAACTTTGAATACATGTTCATTTCAATTTCAAAACCAGGGATTTCCAGCTATGAAAATATAGAGATAAGGCACCTATAAGAACTAAAGAGTCACATACTTCTAATACCCTTTACATGCTTTTGCTTGCTCGCATGCTTTCTCTCTTTCCTAGAATCTAAATATAGGCATGGGAATTTAAGGAATAGAGCAATCTAGGCATGGAACAGCCACAGACAGAGATTAGCAATGTGGTATCTTGGCTTAATTTTATTTAATTTTGCTTAAAGTACAAGATATATCTCTCAGCATGTATTCACATTAACATTAAGGTTAAAATACAAAATAGGTTAAAAGCAATAATAGAAGGCTAGTGTACATGGAAAGGAAAAAAAATCAGTAAAATCTGAATATAAACACTTGGTTAGTGTAATGTACAAGACATTCACACCTATACTGTCACCCAATAGTGAGGTATTTTAGAGACAAATGAGAAAAAGTCAGTTTCTAGAAATAATGATGAACTATGAATCAAACTTACAATCCAAAGAGAAGCTAAAATAAATAGGTCCCTTCTAAGCAACTCAGATAATTCCTCCACAAGTGGAAGCTTCACACAGTGCACTGAAAATTTAAAAAATGAACTAAACCAATAAAACAAACACTTCAGGAGCCAGCATAAGCATTAATTATAATGCATAAAATAGGCTGCTGGAATAATACTTGCTTTTGTGGTAGACTCTGGAGCAGTGTCAGAAGTTTTTAAGCAGGACTTTTAAAACCTTTAAATTGGTTAAAACCCTAATGAGTCAGTCCAAAACATAACCATTTAAAAGATGTTAACTACATTTCAGAATTTCATTTTCTGACTGTGAGAGGGATTCTTAGCTTTGTTGCATTTCTATCTATTTGGTCAAAAGTTCAAAGTTGAATCCTATGTTGATTTCATTCAGTTAATAAAACATTTGGTATGTTTAAACTAAATGTTCATTTCATTAGGGCATCAATGGACCATAATAAAAATCTTAAAAAAATCTGCGGGCAATTCTGCTATAATGCAATAAATATTTCTGAAAAACTCTAGGTTCTGGAAAATTGTACCCCCAAATTAACAGGGTTTAGAGTAAAATGAAGTTTGTGCCTGACCACTCATAATCTATGTAACTTTATAGTCAGAGCACAAACAAAAAACCCAATTTTTGTTTACTACTTCAGACTTAAAACACTAATGTAAAATTGTACTATATGAGCCACTGTAACTTTATGCTGATGAAATTCTCATTTGCCGGTTGTGTATGAGTTTGTCTGCCATTCAGAAAAACATACAGAATAGACTACTTACGTGAGGAGCTCTGGACAGAGCAAGGAACAAAAGGCAAAATATCTACTACTTTTTTACGATGCCATGGTATATAATTTAAGTAGCCTTAAATGAGTAAGAAATACCACTTGGTGTTCAAAGACCACAGGCTTCAAAGTGTGAAAGGCCTGTTTCAGAAGGTCACCACAGTTCAAGTAAAATGTACAAAATTACTAATATTTTGTGTAGTGCTTCAGGTTCACAGAATAGCAATAAAGTTTAAACCTTGGAAGTTAGTACCTAAAAGTAAGCTTATGGAATCTCACAACATGGTCACAATACTGGGGCAAAGGGGAATGAAAACATTTGCTGCTTTGTTCTTCACTGTTGTATAAAGCTCACAGTGAAAAGACTGGGTGTCAATACACCAAATTCAAGTTCAATTTCCACTTCTAACTGGCTAAGCTACACTGTATAAAATGCTAACTTGTGATTTGCAATTAATAAACAATTGTTGTACACCTTATCTGAAAGATTACTGAGATTGGTGATCTGAAACCTTAGAGTTGTCTGAAAATCAAATGGAATAATTTATGTAAAAATATAAAACTTAACATAAACATAAATAATTGGTAACTAAGTTTTCACATAATTTTTCCTTAATTATTTAGGGACAATTCCCCTGTATATATATAAAAAAAAAAGGTTAATTTTTTTTCACAGCCTTCCTAACTCTTAAAATTAAAAGTCACTCCCTGAAATTGAGTTTTCAAGAGGATTCTACGAAGGCATGAAAAACACGATGTTAGTCCAGTTGTCAGAGGGTACACAAAGAGGTGTTTAGCACCCTCTTCTTCACCAAAAGCACAACACACAAACCCATAGACCCTAAAGCCACAAACCAAAAACTTCTGTTTTCTAATAGCTATCAAAACCTTTTTTGTTTGTTTGTTTATATTAAAAAAACCCCTACTAATAGTACCCTTTAATGAGATTAGTCAATAAGGTAGACAAAGGTAAAAAGTTTCTTACTTGGATTTGGCTGCAATAACACTTCAGTTTGTTTCATTATTTTTTCTGTCCATATTTTGGTACATTCAGCTTTGCTAAGAAGATTCTCTAAGTGAGCATCCAATTCTGTCTTCTCTGCCTGGCCAAGCTTTTCTTCTGTGAACTGTTATTAATTATAAAAAAAATTAAATATACCTCAAACACATTTTAGGAACCTATATCAGTAATTAAAAACTCAAATCCAGCAACTCCCAAACATACAAATAATTGTTTGCAAACCATTGCACTGAGTGCTTTTTTGCCCCTATAGAAATTTATCCATACCTCTTAATCTGGACCCTCTCTTAAGATTAACGTATATCCTCAGTTCTGTTAAAAATGTATGGTGTGAATTCTAGAGAAAATCTAGCATACTGCCTGGTATATAAGTATTTCTTACATATAAAGGTAGGATAGCATAGTGGTAAGGAGTAAGAATTTTGAGTCCATTGTGCTGAATTCAGATTCTGGCTGCACTGCTAATTGTGTGACCTGAGCAAGCTTCTGAATTTTTTCTTATCTACTATCATAAAAGAGAGATGATACATATCGTACAGTGCTTTGAGAATTAAGTAAGAGTATGTACGTAAATCACTTTGTTCAGTGTCTGGTAATTATTATTTTGAATTTAAAAAGGGCTGCTTATGTTAACGTGGCTTTGTATTAATGGCACTTTAATCACCTCCAGTTAAATATGCTTTAATGGGATGTTCTGGGAAACTACCATTTGTTTCTTCAGGATATGTTACAACAATTGATCTATAGACTAACTTTTGGGGCATATCTTATTCATACTGTGGAGGCAGGTTTTAAAGATCATAAAATGTAGTTAAATATAGTCAGCATATCAATTTTTACTATCTTGAATGTGGTGGTTTTTGAGGAAAAGCAGCATTGCCCATTCAAGAACAAAGAGGTAAAAAGATTTCCATGTGCATTTTATGGGCACTTCTGAAGACTTTCAATTGAACACTAGCAGTGACGACTTGCGGGGGGGAAAAAAAGAAGTGATGACTCAGGCTGTTTACCATGCAAAATTTTCTTCTAGAATATGTGGCTTTCTCTCATCCTAACACAGGCATATCACTAGCACTAATTCTATACTCATTAGTCATGACTCACTTCTGGGTAACAATGTAATGTTTACTATGCTTTTTTCCCCCTTTTCATCTCTTAAAATATCTTCTGCTACTTCATTTTTCTGAGTTTTATTATCTGTTTCTTTCAGCATCCTTTTTATTGGTCTAATACTTTCTGTTGATTATCAGTTAACATTTTTAGCTGAAAGGTTCCCTAGAATGTTATTCTTAGAGTCTGGTGTTAACTCCCCACTGAAGGTCTTGTTCAGGGGCTAGAAATAAAAGCTTCAATAGCTTTTGTAAAGCCTTATGTCTTTTTGAGACTGGCTTATAGACAAGCCCTGACCCAGTGATTGCAACTGAAAATAGCAGTTCCAAAGCTACTGCCTAAGCCCACAACCTTGCAATGTACTGTAACTGAGGATAGGAATAGGAGTTGCATTGGGCAAAAGGTCAAAACCCTGATGCCACGGTCAGTTGGGTAACTACTATAATTTCACTCTTAAGAGTGAACTCTGGTATTCTCTCTACAAATCCCTAAAGATTCTAGGCTACAGACCTCCTACAGAGGTTAGAATTTTACATGTTCGAGGTCTACCTCTAATGGTTAAATAGGTTATCTCCCAGATAAAGCAACCGATAGGAGGCAAACAAAGGAAGAAATACATCCAGGTTAACATGATCTATGAAGGCTGATCTACCAATAGAGAAAAATTCTTAACTTAGCACCTTAATAAGTATATGTATTTCTTTATTGCATTCATTCCTTCAACAAATATTTTTAAGTACCTTAATATGTGCCATGCACTATTCTAAGCACATGGGTTTAAGTAGCCAGAACAAAGTTTCTGCTCTTAGAAGCTTACATTTTAATAGAACAGACAATAAACAAGTAAACAATTCGATAATAAGGATACAAAAAGACAATGGATATAGGACCGACAAAGTTGGTCCTATTATTTTTTGAGTGACTGAACAATTAAATGAGTGAATTAATGAATTTGAGTGTAGAAGAAGGAAGAATTCATTCTGCAGGGAAAGGGAGAAGCAGGAGAATCAGGGAAGGCTTCAAAGGGAGAGGAATATGCAACCTGGGCCTGGAATGGGGAACAGGAGTTTGAAAGGTGTGAGATGTGGGTGGTTAGAGAAACAGCTTCTCTGAACAGGTAACAACTGATCTAAGAGCAAATGATAAGAAATGGGCTATGTAAAGATCTAAGGGAAGGGTATAAAGTCTTTCATGACTGATCTTCCAGTTGCATTCTGGAAGATTCATTAGCACCGCCTTTATACATGTTAGTTTTTTATAGAAGTCCTTAACAGGGAAGTCAGATGCCCAACCAACCAACTGAGCGACCCAGGAGCCCCTGTTAAGGACTTCTATAAAAAACTAACATGTATAAAGGCGGTGCTAATGAATCTTCTAGAAAATACTTCCGTATTTTTAACAGTGTCAGGGCTTAAGATAAATTAGAAAATGCCATATACCAAGCTGTGCATTTTATACCAAATACTAAAAAAACCTAAAACCCAAAACCAAAATAAACTCTTATAACACATAGATAAGAATCACAACTGTAGTGATGAACATTTTGCCTAACGTGTCAGTGTTGCGATTCAATCTCACATCTGTTTAAATCAAAATCACAGTCTCTTTATACTGTAAGACTTCCAGTAAATAGTTGCTGATTTTAAAAAATTAGTATTTTCTTCTACCATTATATGAATATATTCTGTTTTTCCTTGCCTCTGTGTCTTTGTTTGTAGCACTCTGGTCAGCTGTATCCTATAGTGCACCTCTGCTTCTTACATGATATTCAATAACCATCAACTTAAGGTTAACTTTAATCCTATCTAGAATGAGCAAAAAAAAAAAAAAAAAAAAAAAAAGTGCCAGTACAGAAACACACTGCAAATGTTATATATTTAGGTTGAAATTATACATTTATATTTTATTACTCAAACTTATAATTGTAAAAGACACAGTATCTCCCATGACTTTACTGGGGGGGTTTAAGGATTTTTTTTCTATCATTAATCAGCAAGTATGACATACTAAGTTAACAATATAGTATATTTAATACATACATTTTTCTCTAAAATATTTTAAAGAAAGCTTACAGAAAATGAGCTACATCAGCTAAATTTAGGCATTTTAAATTGTTAATAAAGATATTTATGGGGTATATATTTTCTTCTATTGTAAGTGAGATAAAGAATCAGCATATGACACAGTTCTTTTGCCATCAAGGATTTTATGATCTTAAGAATGCTGGTTAAACACAAACATGAAATTATAATAATGGCACCCTTCTGAGACAGACAGAAGACCTTTTCTTTCCAAAAAAACCCAAAGAAAACACAAAATTCCTGGGGCGCCTGGGTGGCTCGGTCGGTTAGGCGTCCAACTTTGGCTCAGGTCATGATCTCACAGATTGTGGGTTCAAGCCTTGTGCTGAGCTCTGTGCTGATAGCTCAGAGCCTAGAACGTGCTTTGTATTCTGTCTCTCTCTCTGTCCCTCTTTAGCTCACTCTCTTTCAAGATAAATAAATATTAAAAAAAAAATCCTTTCCCTAATTACAAAAAATTTAAAATTTTACTTTAAAAAGTTTTTGTTTTCGGGGTGCCTGGGTGGCTCAGTCGGTTAGGCATCTGACTTCGGCTCAGGTCATGATCTCACGGTTCGTGAGTTCGAGCCCCGCGTCGGGCTCTGTGCTGACAGCTCAGTCTGGAGCTGTTTCGGATTCTGTGTCTCCCTCTCTCTCTGACCCTCCCCCATGCATGCTCTGTCTCTCTGTCTCAAAAATTTAAACAGAAATGTTTAAACAAACATTAAAAAAAATAATAAAAAATTTTTGTTTTCAACATATTTAAGTCCAAAATCACTACTAAGTTTGCAGTCTTCTGAGGATAACCAGTTGTTAGTTAAGAACAATAGTTGAGGGGCACCTGGGTGGCTCAATAGGCTAAGCGTCTGGCTCTTGATTTCAGCTCAGGTCATGATGGTGAAATCTGGTCCAACAACAGGCTCAGTGCTGAACATGGAGCCTGCTTAAGGTTCTCTCTCTCCTTCTCCCTCTGGCCCTCCCCCCCACACATTCTCTCTCTCAAAACAAAACAAAACACAACAAAAAACACCCACAAAAAATCCCCTATACTTTGATTTTAAGCATTTTAATGAACTTTTAGCAGTACCATTTAATAAAAACTTTCGTGAAAACAACCTACAATGAAAGTCAGAATATGTCCTGTAAGTCCAAATCCAATGTTCTCTAAAATGTAATTTGACGTACAATTCTTTCATAATGATTTCATTAGGAATATAGTAAAATGACACAAGAACCGAAAGCTTAATAATCCCCTCCTCTTTACATATTTTCTTTACACATTTCTTTAAGGAAAGGACTGTCTTTGAGTCAGCCACATTATGCCAGACACTGTGATCCTTTCTTTACTACAGGATAGGCATCTGGCCTACAGGATTCTATACCATGCTTTACTACAAAGATAAAAGCACAAGCAAAAAGACTGTATGATGAAAGACATCTATTTAGTATGAACTCTAACCATCAATTATTTGAGTGGGTAAAGTAACATTTTAAAAGTTATCTAAACTTCTTAGGGTAAAATGTATAGCACAAATTCTGAATATAATGAATTCGTAAATTGTAAAATTAGATCCTTCTCAACTTATTCTCAATTTTGGCTGCTCTTTGGAATTACCTGGGCAATCTTTGAAAAACAATGATGCCAAATCCAACCACAAGGATTCTTCTTTAACTAGACTGAGATGCAGCCTGTAAAGATTTCTGAGGTAATTCTAAGTGCAACTAAGACTGAGAACTACTGTTCTAAGCTCATAGGTGATTATGTTAACATCAGGTTAACCAACCATCTTCTATCAGTTAATTAACACCAACAGCACCAAAGGATGTGAAAAGTTTTGGGTAACACTAAATATGTAAAGTTTTTACACAATCAGAAAATGTATGGACTTTGAATGTGACATGTTTTATTTAGTAGAATTTGAGAGACATGGTGAAG